TTTTAACATTTCAATTAAAAAATTTATTGCCAAATTAGCATTATCATTCAATTAATCTTTAAATAAAAAAGTTGAAAGTTAATATCTGTAAATAATAAAGTTGAAAGTTAATATTCTTAAAAAGAAAAACTTGAAAGTTGATATTTTTAAATAAAAAAAATTAAAAATTAACATATTTATTTAGAAATTAACAAAATTACCATCTTTAAATAAAAAATATAAAATTAGCATCATTATTTACATAATTTCTCTTTATTTTTTTTAGAGACCCACAACTAAACAAAAATATCATTTGTAGTGATCCACAAAGATGAGTTTAAGACTTTTAAGGGCCCTCACATTTTTAATTATGATGTCTCCTAGTGTTGCTATCTCATTACTAGAGTTGTAGATGACTTTCAATCTGCCTAAAGTAGGGGCCCTTGTTGGCTCAACATGCTGAGGGCCCCTAACTTACTGCTTCCACAGAGCAGCTTCTAAAGGAATATATGCCCCCTCAAAGTCAATAATGAGCAAAAAAATATTTTCCAAAGGAATGAGAACATAAAATCATTGAGGCATTGCTTGGTTACCACACTATAATAATTATAAAAAAAAAGACATAGGGAGATTTTTTTTTTTTTTTTAGTCCGAACAGAAAAAATCAATGTTAATTCAGATTGTAAATGACTAAATTGCACTGAAAATCATTATTTGAAATACAAGGATTAAAGGCAAACGTATTATTTTCAGTCCAAACTGACATTTGCCGATACAAATTGAAGAGAAAATTTTTCCTATATACCTGTTTAAATTACAACTTTGATGAGAATTGTTCCTCTTTGTATAATACCCAAAAGCCAGAAAATCAGGGAGAAACCGTGGATTCTGAAGTGGTCCATGCCATTTGCAACCTGTTTAATGACTGTTCCAAGTTCCTATCCACTCAAAAAAATACAAAGACCAGAGCATCACCAGACGCATTACTCCAAGCAATAAACTACCACCAACATTCATTTTCTGAAATAATTATATTGGCACCAAATCCATAATCATTAAAACGTCTCAATGTACATGTGTACATCAAGAAAATGGGTGTAGCAGTAGTCGTATATATTGCGCCGCAATGGCTTGAATCTTGAATCATCAACTGTATACATTGCATGGAGATCATAATCTTCACCTGATTATTTATGTACAGCTGAAATTTTACAAATTTGGAAGCCTATAATCCATGTTTTGTGAGCAAGGCTTACAACTTATTTGATCATGTAAAATAACTGGAGCTGCTACACAAACGACCATCATATACCATCATAAATAGCTTACAGATGTTATATGCAGTAATCATTCTTCATAAGTTGTAATACCTCCGCAATCTCCTCTTGTTTGCAGGGGTTGGTGCTTCTCCATTTCCGGGGAATTCCCACTTGACGACATCCCCATCCCAAGACGAGCTGACGAGCATTGGGTACTGAGGATGCCAGCTACAGTCTCTTACAATTGAACCATGGTGCCTGAGTAAGGCTACTCGCTCTCCACTCACCTACAGTGAATCACCATGATATCATGAATAAAAGAGTAACTTGATCGGACAATCGGATTAGAAAAAGTAGGGAAGATGATAATTCAACATGGTGAGAAATGCATAACATTTCCAGGAGGTACAACATTTTCTATCAAGACTGTCCAGCACAAGTTTCATTAATAATGGATTCCCGCTTAATATCTCGGACTTCCAATAAGTTGATCAAAACATGCAGTTAAAAATGTAATTAAAAAAACATTAGTGATTTAATTACTTAGGGGAAAAAAAAAGAAGAAGAAGAAAAGAGAAGAACCGATTACTTACCACATCATAAATGTAAACATTAGAATCGTGAGATCCTGTGTAGATGTATTTTTGACCCGTGCTGCAATCAGAGATTCAAGAAATTGATAACATTTTATATTAGTAAATCTTTTAAACCAAATCTAGTTCAACTAAGAGTTAGTCACCCAGCAGACGATACTGGGGACAATTGGCAGGTGATGTAAAAACAGGTTAAACAAGCTAACACAAACTGAGAGGCATATATCCAGGTAAGTATAGCTGGAATATACCAAGAGTTTAAAATAGGATGAGGGAAATGACTATGGTCCTTGTCTTGATTGAAAGGGAAACTAGAGCACTAACCTGTTTGCTGGGGAAAAGTAGCAGCGAATAAGAGTACCCAAGACTGAGTGACCTCTATATGTAGCCACTGATAGATCCTGTGGGTGTTTCCTGTCTCTAGCCTGATCTGGGTAGTCCATCCATCTATAATCCCATTCATAATTCCGATGCCCTAAGTTGCTGGAACAACATAATCAACTTAAGCATATATAGATATTCCATGTAAGCTCTTTTGTTGCATTAAATCTTGAATGATATAACACAAAACATCCATTTTCTGACTTTTCTAGTCTTGTAGCATTCAGTTTGAACAGTACTTAAAAAGTATCCTCAAATTTCTAATTGATCACAGATTACACTGGATATGAAGACGTAAAATATGAAAAATGCTATGGCACCCCATTTTCATGAACAAAGGAAGTCTAGACATTATGGGAAGGCAGAGTAACTGAGTATTCATACCAAGTAGCATTAGCAGACATTCTACGGATATCCCAAAGTTTGATAGTCTGATCTTTTCCATTTGAAATGAAATAACGACCATCTCCCCGGCTGTCAATAAATGTAATACCTTCTAGGTGTCCCATCAGGATCCCTGCTGGCTTCCCTTTCTCAATAAAGCAGCGTCTATCCCACACCTAAACAAATTGAACATTGTCCTGCATGACCTCAATAAAATGAAGAAAATTGAAAACAAGGCACATCTACATGCAGCACTTTCTCCTTGTGCCATGTCGCCCTATTCATATAAACTCTTGTTCTAGTGATTTTCAGTTGGGAACAAGGTAGGTATTAGAAACTATCCTAGAGCATAACATATCAACAGCCTAGACCTATCAAAATTCCCAACGCAAATGTAATGCAGACTCAGCTTTCAAGGCCTTCAAAAGAATGATATTTGAATTCTAAATTACAGTTTATAGAATATGGTGGTCCTCTCTTTCCATCATTATCATCATCCACTGCATCACTATCATTTAAACTGCAAATTGGCTATTATGTTCTACTTCTCCATAGCAACTCCTGAGAACCCCAGTCAACATAACAGAGCATTATCATCCACTATATCCAATTATTTAACTCTTTCAACTTTGAACTACCTCAGCATTCCATTTTCAAAGGTTGTTAAATGCCTACCTAGGAACCTAAACTACTAACACAATGAATGCTCTCAGGTCAGTAAAGCATTTATCTGGGAATGCAAGCAAGCTGTCCCAGGAACTGAGCCACTACGTCAAAGGGAGTACAATCCTGATGCTGGTTTCATGGACTCTGGGAGTAAGAGAAGTAGATTTGATGTTACAATACAGTTCAAATGTGTCCTGAGTGATTCTGCTTACAAATGCACAGATGTTTTGTACGAGGTTTTATTTCAAGAATTAGCAATAAACTTTATATGAAAAAAAGGATCCTAGGAATGTAGGTGGTAAGTTTAATCCATTAGACATTTATGGATACAATTACATAGTAAGCAAGTATATGTATCTTTCAAAAAATTAAATATATAAGATAAATAAAACTTACCTTACAAAGATTGTCATCACTCCCAGAATATATTAGATGGCCACTTTCATCCGCAAAGCATACGGTATTAACATCAGCCTGCAACATGAAAAGTTAATCAAGTTTAGGCCCTCAGAACCACACAAAAAGCAATTATCAGAGATGCATGAAAGTTTCATTCATAAGATGGTTGGAAGGGAGGGAAGGAAACAGAACAGATGAAACTGAAACAACCCAAAAGGAAATATAAATATAAAATTTAGTTTCATTATGACCTCCAAACTACCAGCTTCCAAACATATTCATGCCCCTAAACCTCCTTTTCATACAACTACATTAAAATATGCTAAGATAGACACTATGCAGGAAGGACTAAGATTGGGAGCTGCCCCTGCAGCTGTATAGCTTAAGTAAGACACAAGGAAAACATCATCAAATACATAGAATCTAAAGTTTTGATTTTGGAAAGCAGGGAGAGCTTAATTACATGACATATTTGACAAATGATGTTAACTGACATTCATATTCCTCCTAAGGAAGCCTATCAATTTTGCTTTCACCTAAGTTAATTGTCGAATGATACTTCCACACATTACCTCATCTTTTGTCACTAGTAATTTCCACATTAGTTCATTTCAAGGATTAAATTACTCATATAAATTAATAACTTCATTATATATTTAAAATTGTGAACTAGAATAATTGAGCTGCAGCTGAGTGACTAAGCACTATAATGTTTTAGCCTAGAGCAACTAAGATCAACTTCCAGAAATATAAATGCCAAATGGGTGTAAAATGTATATCTTCAATATCTAAGGAAAAGTTAGTTGACCAAAGAATATAAATTGAATCAAGAATAAAAAAATGTGAACCTACAGCATGTGCAGGTATTCGAAGGGAAGGCCTATTTGCTTCGAGATCATAAACATATATGGAGTCGTCATTACTTCCAGCAACAAGTTCTCGTCCATCAGTTGAGAATTTTACAGAGAATATTCCAAAAGAATGCCTTACACCATCAATGGCAGAAAAGTCCAAACCATCATGTATCTCCTGAAAAACACAGGGATATCATAAAGAATGCCAAGATAAACCATGAGCATCAGAAACACTCATGAACAAACAAAACCCTTTGTCATCTTCCACATTAGTATAGACCAAGTTAATTTTTGAGTCTATGACAAGAGGACAATCAGACCCCAAGAACAATTGGACTTACAACCCAACAAAAGGCCAAAATAAGCAAAAATGGGATAAGACATTGATTGGGGTAAAATTGTGTACTTCTACCTCTGACTCAAATAAGAAAATGAATTGCTACTTTGTACTTAAATATAAAGAATAAATACTACTTCATACCGTAATATTTGCAAGGGAGTCAGTTTCTTGAGATGAAACATTAACAATGTGGATGATGGGTGACATGCTGGCATAAATCTGCAAGAGAAAATATATTTAATTTAATTAACATTATCTGCATCAAGTATTGTTCTTCAGATTAAAATTTATCCATATGACTTTAGCAATTTGAGACATGGTGTCGCAGCCATGCTCTCCTGAATGTACCAGAGGATACAAGTATTGCCTGTTTAAGTATGTCTTTTTAGGCCAATGCCTCTTTAAGTATGTCAGGTACAATGGTTTCATTATAAAAGCTAAAATATGGTGTGAAGACCAAAGCTTAAATGCACATAATAGTCAGTTTGCCAAAATTTCCTTTCAGCAAGCCAACACCCATGCACTGCATATGTGGTAGCTAAAATGCATTAGGAAAAAAAAAATCCACAAGCTTGGAAACTATGAAGGCAATTATTATATGCAACTATGATTAACAACATCCAAATGGACTCACAAGATAATGCTGATCCGGGGAAAGAGATGTGTCAGTAATCGTCCACCGCAAACTTTTGGCAAGAATGTTCTTCTGCACTTTCCAGCCTCTATCTACATTGTATACTCTAATGTTGCTTCCCTGAAACAAATATTTCTTATCGAAATAAGATCAAAATTTATTGCACATAACAATCATTCATGCTTTCCTCTGGCGTGTGGTTTAACAAGTTAGTTTGCCATAAGTTACAAGAAAAGAAGCATTCTTTTTTTTTTTCCCTTCCCTTAATTCTATCAGCTTCAATGAAAATTCTTTATTTCCAGTAACCATAATACCTGAAACCCAGCAACAAATAAAGAACCATCACGTGAAAACTGCGAGACATAAGCCCGGGTTGTCATCCGGTCTACTAACCATGGTCCATTAACAGGCAAATATCTGCTAAGCATATGACAACGATCAGCAGATGTAAATCTCCCCCTCCCTGAATAATTCCCTTCCCGCCCTGCCAACATCTTCACCGTAGAAACAGGCAACCCCCTTTTTCCAGGCATGACATGGCTCAACCCTTCATGAGGTCCTGATCTGAGCTTTGTAAGCTGAGCAACCTCATGGTCCAAATCACCGAACGGTTCATCTGCCCCATGACTGGCCCCAACTTCACTGACGACCGGACCACCATCCAAGAACTCAGATTCTATCTCCAATCTACTCATAGCATACCCCATTTTCCTCAAAAATAATCCCCACTTGCTCTAAGAAACATGTTAATCCCAAACCTGTACATTCTTCAAAATCCTCTGAACAGTCATATCAATTCAATTTCGGTTCTTACCATACCAAACCTGAAAAACAAAATCTAAATTACAAGAGAATAAAAAATTAACCAGAATCCACCGGAAAAGTCAGATAATTTCTTAAAAACTTCGAGACAACATTAGAAAAAAGACAGAAACCAACAGCTTGCAACAGAGGTTCCGACAATATATAAGATGGTAATGAAAATGCAAGAAAAACGGAACGAAACATCAAACTTGATTCTAGCAGACTAACCAGATATCAACTTAAACGGAGAAGTTGGAGGAAATCATGATCGAGGAAGAAAGAGAGGAGAAGAATCACAGAGCAGGGAACTGAGAGAATTGGGTGGTACTCTTATGGGGATAAGGTGCACGAGAGCTCACAGTCACAGATTCCTCTTTACAAATAATTTTATTTAATATGGTTTTTTTTTTAACGATTTATAATCTGAGGAATTGGAGAAAGAAATTTTTTAAAATGTTAGTGCAACTTGAAATTCCGGCTAATTAATCCAAGCATCTCAAGATTTGGAATACAACAACCACTTGCAATGATCCATTTGATGGGAAGACACGGTGGTAATATGATATTTTTATTTTAATTTTTTTTTAACAAGTTATAAAAGGTGAGTTCAAAATCGTCTATAAAAGAAGAAAATACACCTCAAATTAATAGGATACCAACTCGAAAAAAGAAAATACACCTCAAATTGATAGAATACCAACTCGAAAGGGTAGGTGAGATATTTTTATTTTAGTTAGTTAATGAAAGTAAATTATTTTTTATTTTTTATTTTATTTTACTTATATATCATATAATTTAAATTAAAAATTTTTTTTTTTAAAAAAAAAAGATAACCACTGTTCGGCTTTGAACAGCGGAAACTTGAAAAAAGATGGATTAGATTACAAGATTTTGAACCATGCTGATATCCATCAGCAAAGATGCACCTTATTATTGCAACAACCACTGCAGGTGATATTTTGATATCGTATTAAATACAAACCGACACTAAAGTCAAATCATATACAGTTACACTTGCTTTTGTGACGGTAAGATTCCGTATTACCTGGGAAAAAATCCTAAGTTTTTGAATTTCCTTTTTCTTCAGTGTTTTCGAATTACA